TTAGACAGGCCTGTCATTAACTTCCTTCTCTCTCCCTCTCTCTCTCTCTCTCTCTCCTTGTGTCATTCTCTATCTAGTCGATATTATACGACATATTAACACAACAATAACCTAAATGCTTTATAATTAGTTAGCAAAAAGAGTTTTTGTTGTTTGACCTTAAAAGAAATATGCTTTATAAAGCCAAATGATTTGTTATAGTTGAACGTTTTTTCATCTATATATTTTTATTGTGCCTTATTTATAGACGCTCACAAATTATATACAGAGAGCGAGCGAGCGAGGGGATGAGAGGGCAGAGCGGGTGCTTTATTATCTGTTGCCCAACTTAGTCTTATCTTAATCCCATTCACGATTCACTAAGCGTCTGCGTTCCAAACACACATAAAACTGTCAAAAAAAAATGGAAAAAAAAAAATGAAAATGAAACAAAAGCAAAAAGTTAAACACGAAATTCTTCGTCTTCGAGCTTTGGGCAAGAAGACAATGTCGATAAGTCTTCTCTCTCTCTCTTTCTCTATTTCTCTCTGTGTGTGTGCGTGTGTGATATCAATATTCAGTTAATGCCTTGATTTATTTAATATATAACACATCATTTTTGTTTTTGTTGAGCTTTTTCCATATTTTTTTCAATGTGTTCAAAAGACAAAAATCACTTGTAAATCCATCCAAATCAAATCATATAAAATTTCCTGACTATATAGCCATATGGCACACACACACACACACACACACACATACAGAGGCATTTGTTGTGCGGCAGATAAATAATAATTACACTCACACGACATAATCAATTATGCCTGCTAATAAATGGCTACGGGGACACATGTAGTCCATCAAATATATATGAGTGTGCTGGTGTGCGTGTGTGTGTGTGTGTGTGTGTGTTATCCACAATTTGTGCCTAGCACTAATCACGCCAGCATGTTCATAATCAATTTTATCGCACTTAGTTGGATTAATTGCGATATCAATGACAGCGAGACGTTAAGGGTGAAGTCTGGGGCGGGGCTGTTAGGGCGCTAGAGTAGGGCTGGGTGGGGGCGGTGGTATATGGCCGCCTATGTCAGCGCAGTCAGCAGACCCAATTCCGATATATCGCGCAATTACGCCCATTAGCTGGGAGTGCATGACTTTGTGTTACCCTCACAGTCTAGAGGTATGGCCTATGGGAATTTGACAAAGTAACGTCAATATATCGCTATTTGATCCGATATCCGATATCAGCGGAGTTATTTAGGAAAGATATGACATATCTAGATATGTGTGGCAGCTAGGCTAGAATGAGAAGGCTGAAGAGCCTGCAAAAATATGATGAAAATAGAACAAGTTTCTTATCGATTTTAATCGATTTGGTAAAAATAAAAAAGTGATGGATAATCAAGTTTAAAATAAATAAATTTGTTATATAGACAGATGAATGAACAAATGGATGGACATACAGATTATGAGATATAAGAGATATGATATAAGAGTGATAGCCAGAAGATCGGATAGAGAGTAGGACGGAGCGACGGATTACCGGACGGAAGGATTGAGAGGCGAACTGAGGAACGGACAAACGACTTCACGAGCAGACGAACGAAAGGGCTGAGAGACAAGGAAGAAGAAGAAGGACGGATAGACAGGCAGATGGCTTTCTCTCGACCATGACCTCCGATCTAAAACAAATAAATGTGATAAGAGCAAACCTCCTACACAAATTTTAGGCAAAGCTAAATATACCCTACTTACACCTTTGCAGGGTATTCGTACAAAGTTGTTGATGACGCGCAGCGAGCAAAAGTCAAATACAGTTAAACCTGAACAGTTACAGTTACAACGTGTTATCGGCACTTATCGTGCCTATATCTAACTTGTGCATATGCGTGTGTGTGTGTGTGTGTTGTCAACGCCTTATGCCCAAATTAGCAATAAGCAAGCAAGTCGACAAAACACAGCGGATTATCTTATCTGAACAGCGCAGAGCTAAAAGCTTTTAGCTTGGATATCGCACAGAGACCCAGCGAGAGAGGCAGAGATAGATAGAGAGAGAGAGAGAGAGAAAGGGTGGGGGGAGAGCGATGTTGTGGTGGGGCTTGGCCAAGGCGCAACACATTACAAGAAGGCAATTAGCCCACATGGTTAAGCATACAAATAAAGAAAATACACACGGCAAAGGTAATATTTACACCGGACTGCACCACGCACGCTGCACCACACGCCACCACACGTTGAGCACGCTTATCGTGCCTCTACTCTCCAATCTCTGACACACCGACCCGATAAGGATTATCTCTTAATCTGCATAAATAGCGAAAAATTGTCGCTCATGATTTTAGCTTTACTCTATTTTGTTTTGTTTTTTGTTTCACTTTTTTTTTATCATAAATGAAAACGTTACATTGTTATGTAAATGAGTGTATGTGTGTGTGTGTGTATGTTTATTTATAAACATACTAAGATATCCATAAACTAACTGCAACACTAAACAGTTGACTAAAATGTTTAAATACTATTTATATAATTTGGTATATCTTTAAAAAAATTTTGAAATATTTTTAAGATTAGGAATTTTTTGATTTGCTTATTATAAGCTAACTCGGTTTAAAGAATATTAAATAAGTATAAAGAATACTTGAATATAAAGAAATAAAACTCTTAGTTCGGGTTTCTTTTATATCAAATCTGTGGAAAATATAGTGTAAGGAATATACAAAATACATAGAGAATATCGAGAATTCATAGATTATTTGGACTTAATAGAGCACAGATTATAGAGTCTATAAATGCGTTAAGTTTTAATAAAGAAAATAGGAATATGAAAAGAAGAGAAATTTTAGGTTACACTTCATGTGTATGAAATCTATAACAAATATGGGATGTACTAGAAAACAAAGCAAGTCTGATATACATATGTACAAAAAATGGAATTTATGAAACATATACATATATTGGTTTCTACAGAAAATAAAATACATATAATTAAGATTAACATTCAGATTTATAGAAAATATAAAAGAAATGGAATAAATGGAAGCAATCTACAGAATAAATATGAGAAGAAAAGTAGATTACTTGGACTATAACGCTTTAACCCTTTTTCATTGTAGTGTATACAAACTTTTGTGCGGCACTGTTGGCATTTTCACTATTTGTGTTTATTTGCACTGATTCAGTTTGCTTTTTTCAGAGGCGGCAGATTAAATGTTGTTGGTTTTTTTCGTGTTAAGTTGAAGGGTGACTAATGCGAGTAGAACCCATTGAAATTATTTACGGTTAAGCTTAGAGCAGTTACGAGATCTACGACATAGTAAGAGGTAAGGTTAATGAAATAGAGACGAGTTGACTTTGTTAACTTAACTAAAGATTGTAGTGAAACGACTTTGTAGTGAATAGGAATAAAGATAAGAGAGAAGTGGATTATACTTTTTTAGAGTTGCCTATAGATAGAAAGATTAATAGAGATAGATTCTCTTATGCAAACGATTGTAATATTTAGTTTCTATTCTAAAATAGAATGGAATTATCTATCAATCCATCTATTTATAGTTATTATGTTAATTCTGTTTATGATTAGCCTGAATTCTGTACTGGAATCTATTGATGCTTTGCTAATGAAACTCTGTCTAAACATTTAACAAATATTTTTTCAAGAAGGAGTTTTTTATGCGTAGTTTGAGCATTTTAGGTGGTACTCAACTAAATATATCATGAATATTATTTTACTTGTTCAAATTGAGAATATTTTCACTTTTAGAAGTTGCAACACTATAATATTTATATTTATATATATTTATATTTAAAAGATCTACTATACTTAAACCCTATGCATTAGATCGAGGCTTGAACTTGTCTTAGTCTTAGTTATACTGAGAGGCAATATTGTTCGTATATGGCTTATGCTGATGCTTAAACTTTAGTTATTTTAGGAAAGTTCATTTCGATCTTGTAGATAGATTTCTTTGGTAATTACTGCCTGCACATTTGTATATCCATAGAAGTTGTATATCAATGGCATATATATTTGAAGTTTTAACTAGGGTATATCGCATGATGATCTAAAGGATTGCATACTACATATAGTATAAGCTACACTTGTAGGCTTCAATTTATTGATTTCTGTTGGCATTTTTAGATGCACTTTCTGTTGAGTTGGAACCTGTCAATTCAGCTGCCTTAGCTCGGTTTGAGAGTTCTTAAGGTTGAGCAAGTTTATAAAGAATTTAGTAAACAGATTTTACTTTTAAGAATAATGCGAATTTGGAACAGCTATCAGGCTGATTAACTTTGATATGTGAAAGAGATGTATATGCCGATGTAGATGCAGATATAGATAGATCTATATGGATCTATACAGTGTATAGTATACACATACCATATCTGTGCAAAATTTCTGCGCTTTTACGTTTTAGCGCGGGTTCGAATCCACCACATCAACAACACAACGCTTAAGAAATAAACCCAGATTCGTAAGTATTATATATATACGATAAACACTTTAGGTATATGTACATACATTGCATATTCGATCAACTCTATTTATGATCCATATAACTCTTAATAGAACGTGATATGATAGGATCAACGGTGTTTATAATCTGTATCGGTTTTCACACTGCATCATAATAGTTATATATAGACTTAGTATATATGTATTTCTATAAACTCACCTGCTGTCCGGCATTGGCGGCCACCCAGGCCTCTGCAAACGTTTCCATAGCGCTCTGAAAGTCCATGATGAAATGTTTGGGGTCTGAGCTTGCAGCTTCGTGAACTTGTGTTGAAGAACTGTGTATAGTGAATGCACTTTGCTGGCACTTTTGTTGTTAATAAACTATTTAAGTTTTATGTGCCTTGGTTTTGATTGTTCGTTGGGTTTGATGCGGGGGCTGAGAGAGACTGTGCGGGGGTAGTTGCAGGTGGCAATTGCTTTGGCATTAATTGGTCTTGGTTGGTTTGTGATGGAAACGCGAATCAATTTCTTCTCTTATTATATTTATTTATTTTGTTTTTTTTAGCGATAAGGCCTAAAGCACGCTTTGATTATTGATTATTAAGCAGTGTTGTTGTTGTTGTTGTTGCTATTGCTGTTGTTGTTGTTGTTGTTGTCGATGGAGACGCAAATTAGATACAAGCACAAACGAAACGAAAGACGGAACGACGCGACTTTGCAAACGATTTTTTTTAGCGGAACGGATTCGATGTGGCTGCCACACAGTTGCATATGCAATTCTCGCCGTTGTTGTTGTTGTTGTTGCTGCTGCTGTTGTTGTTGTTGTTGTTGTTGTTGCGGCACAGCTCACGGCGCGACATCATTAGCAAAGGAGGAGGCAAAATGCAATCCGTAGCGTGGGCGTGGCAGCGTATCGAAAACAGTCAAAAGAACAAGAGAACCGACGGTCGCTGGCGATAAGAAGCCTCAAGTACTAAAACACTCGAGCTGCCAATGAAGACTGACTCCGGCAAAAGATTTCATATGCTATTGTTCAGGCAGATACTCTGATTAACTTTGTTGCTGTTGCTGTAGTTGTTGTTGTAGTTGTTGTTGTTGTTGTTGCTGTTGTGATAAGCGCAAATGTCTCTCGTGTGTATGTTTGATTGTTTACTTTGATTTGCTCTCCCTCTCTAACCGTGTGTTGGTGTCTCTTTCTTGTACTGTCTTCTCTAACTAGATGGCAAATGTATTTATTTTCAGCATTATTCGATTTTGACGTATTTCGTATGCTCTTCTTCTTGCACTGCTGGCTGCTCTTGGCTGTTAAACGGACGCGCGTCTGGACATCCTTACACAGCACAAGTTGTCGCACAACTGACAAAATTCTTTCGCATTCGCACTGCCACGAACCGAACGTACTTGCACGAAGACCGCCCTCGTGCCCGAACCCCGTACCGAAAGACAGGCATTCGTCTCTGCTCATTTGCTGGCTGGCTTTGCTGTGCGCTGGTGTGCGTGACTAGAAAATACGATTTCGCTCTCCCCCTCTCGCACACACGCTCGCACTCGCGCTCGCTCTCACCGCTGCCGGCTCTCTTGCCGCCTGTTTGCATGTGTGCGTGCGAGTGCTTCAAATAGTAGCAGCAACCTGAAAAATAGTATCAAATAGTTGGAATTATTATATTATATATACATATTTGTATATTATGTATTTGTGTGATTGTGCTCATTTATAAGCATTAATTTGACTTTATAATAAAAAATAAAATTTATTATATAATTTGTCTAACTTGAATAATTCAATGCAAGAAGGGCAAAAGTTTATTTTTTATTTATTGACTTTTTAGATATTTATTTGACTTAATTATTAAATCATGTTTTATATTTCATCGATTTATATTACATCAAGCATTATCTCACAATTGGAAAATGCATTGCATTGGAATAAATCACATAAAAATTCGAAATTCTTCCTTTCTTAAAAAAAGGAGTAGAATTAGTAGTATCTTTGCTTTTTCAGAGAGCGTCACTCTTTGCTTGTGTGTATGCGTGTGACCAAAACAAAACACACACACACAACGAGAGCGAGCGAAAGAGCGAGAGCGCGTGTGAGAGCCACAGCATTCACACACACACACACACTGGGGTAAACCTGTTCCGGCGCAGAATTGCACTTGTCTCGGCGACAGGCTCACCCAGTCCTCCCCACCCCTCTCCTAAACACATCCATACCATTGCCCATGCCCATTCCACTACCATCTTAAACGACTTCCCTTCGGCTGCGCGTTTTCTTTTACTTTTTGTGCGCTGTAGCGAAATTCAATGGATTTGCCGCAAATTCGGGTGGAATTATGCCACACACACTCACAAGCCCACTCTCGCACACACACACAGACGAGCTATTGTTGAGAGTGGGCGTGGGCGTGAGCCACTCGGCTAAGCGGACAGCAATGTGCGCGCCGCGAGTGCGAGCGATGCGGGAATATAGATTCGCGCGCCTGTGCCCGACTGGGATGAAAGAGTAAATCGTCAGCGCTTATTATTATTATGTCGTTATGTGGAGCGCCGAGAGGGTGAGGGAGACGGTAGAGGCCGGCAACAGTAGCAGCAACACCCACTCCGCATTTAGCACCTCGACGAATGGAAATGGATGGCGGCGACGGCTCTGTATGTGTGTGAGTGTCCATGCTCGTGCCTTTGACACACGAAGTTGACCACTTGGCGGAGACGCAGATAAGAGCGCAGATAATGCGCGCGCATTACATGTGATTAGGTGTTCGGCTAGGCTGGATTTAGCCAACCGCCGTGCAGGAAGCCGACGCTCGAGTAAATGGTAACGGTACATAGCCCCAGCTGTCAGGATACATATGCAGACGCTATTGGTATATAAGTATGGCTCGTTCCCCCATTGGGGTGGAGTTATAGCACGCAAACAGCTAAAAATATATAATTAAAATAACACGCAGCTGCAGCGAAAATTAAAAAAAAATAATGCAGACATTTTCATATTTAATTAAACACGAGAGCTATACATATTCACACATACATACAAGCACATGTGTATATATTCTCTTACTATGTGTATTGTGGTTGGGGATTTCGGCACTTGGCAATTGGTACAGATTATCAGCGGAAAAGAAGAGAAAAAAAGCTCTCATTTATCATCTTCCTTATCTGCTTTCCTACTAAAAATTGTTGTGAAGGCTCTCCTACTCGCTCTCTCTCTTTCTCTCTCTCTATCATGCTCTCTATCCCTGCTATTTTGTTAGCAGTCGCTCACCACACACACATACGCAGCGCGGCACTCACACATATATACACACATGCATACCCATGCACTCGCATATTCTCGGGCTGCTCTCGCTCTTTCCCTTTCACTCTTGCACGAGCGTGCCAGAGCGAGATAACCCATAAAAATTTCGTGCAAAAGCAAAAGATGAGCAAAGCGTAAACGCAAACGAAAAACAGCAAAGCGTGCAACAACAACAACAACAACAGCAACATCAGCAAAAATATCACGAAATAAACATAAAAAGCGCCGGCAAACCAGTTCGGATAGACTCCGCCCTCGGCGTACGCTGATTGGCTAAGCTTTGCCTTTGCCCAAGACTTCATCTTTTTTTCTTCTTCTTTTTTTTTTTTTTTTTGCTTTTTGTTTTCTGTGTGCTTTGCTGTTGTTGCGCTGCTTGTGCTAAGTTGTTGTTTCTTTGTTGGCTGCGGTTTTATCGCCTTCAACGACGACAACGACTACGACTACGACGACGATGATGATGACGACGACGACGACGACGACGTCGACGTCTTTCCACTTAGTTAACAGCCTCATGGGCAGCGCCTCGCTCTCTCTCACTCTCACTCCCATTCTTTTGTTGGGGTGGGCTTTACCAAATTTTGAAGCTCCAAATCTTTGCTGTTCCCTGAATTTTATAGCTTTGCGCTCATATTTACATATGAAAGCGAGCCATGTGTGTACGTATGTGTGCATATGTATGGGTATGTAATTGGTGTAAATAGCTTATTAGAAGCGTTGCTTAGAATTTGCATAGATGAGGGCTAAAAGTTAATGTGAGTGTATTTAAATGAAAATATATATATAAAAAAATATAGCGAAATTATAGAAATAGGATATAAAGGACTACAACTTACTAGGGATGCTAGTACGGCTGGGTAGTTCACTTTTAAGCTTAAGAAAATTTTGAGAAATATTTAATGGAGATGTGTACATATATTGATGTATTTTGGACTTAAGCTTATTGCAATATGATATCAAAGAGAGCTTTTAAATATTATAATACATTTTTAATGAGATACTTTTGAACATATCTCGCGGATCAAACAAAAAGAGCACATAATGTCTACAGTAAAACCGCCCTGAATCTGACACTCGTCTTAGGCATTACATTTACTAATCCGGATAATAAATTCTTATCAAATATCTTAACTTTCATCTATAAAATCTGCTAAGGAAAACAATTTTTGTTGACCTTTAAAAATTCATTTAATTTTTTATGATAGAACTTTTAATTTTAAATCTGATTTTCAGAATCTGATTTTCAACAGAAACTCTAAGATTCATCTATTCTTATATTAAACAGTTTTTAAGGAAATGAATTTTACGACTGGTCCAATTATAAAGTATTTATGGAAAACCATAATTCAGCTATACAAAATCTATAAATTACAAATTTGTCAAAATTTTCAATGGCTCGAGCCAAGAAAAAAAATGCTTGGCGCCAACGCCAGCGAAAATCAATAATTTTATTAAAGTTCTATGGGGCGACTGTCATATTTTCATTTATACACACACACAAACACACTTACATACGTATATATGTATATATTTTTTTTCAAGCGCGAGACAAACAGCAGGCGAAAGGACCCAAACAGGATGCGCGACATAGTATAAATATAACGTGTGGAAATTTTCAACTTGAAACGCAAGGCACTGGACCTGATGCTGTGAGAAGTACACCTACACAGAGGCACCAACACACACACACACACACACGCACAGTGTCCAGTTATTATTGTTATTAGTCAATGTGGCAGCATCAGCCGCGTAAACGGTCGTTGCCGTCATCATCAAGGCTGCTCAAGCAACGCCCCACACCGCCCCACCAGCGGCCAGCTAACGGGCATACATAACGGTATAATAACATAGCAGTGCTGCCAATTTAGCTTGTTGTTGGCAGTCAGATGTATTTTTTTTTTGTTATATATATAGTAAATTTAAATAGGGAACGGAGTCAGTCACATATCGGTACTGCTATATGTCTGGACTGCGAATTTAGTTTTTTCAAGTCAAATCCAACTTTGTTGAAGTCTACCTAAGACTGAAAAAGATGAAAAAAAGATGAAAAAGCCAGCAGCCCAACAGTTCTGCCAGTTTAGCTGTTTTCTAGCTACAGTTATACCTTGTTTCACTCTATCTATATCTATAGATATATCAATACTAATACAAAATATACTAAATATCTTTGTTGCATCCCAATTAATTAATAAAGTATCATATATACATATATATATCAGATATATCCAGATATATCGATACTATACTCTAGCTTTTTTCATATTATTTTAGAATCTAGTCTAGTCTTTTTTTTCGTTAGCAAAGAAATGCAAACTATCGAAACATAATCGAACAGGAATTTTTTCAAGGAGGTAGAATTTTCTTAAATTTATCGCTATCTTCGACTTGACGGGCTACAAAATATCGAATCTGAACTATATTTAAAAATGTAAAGGACAAAAATCTCTAAAGTTTCCTATTCAAACTGTAAAAAGCCTTTCGTTTCTCTCTCTATGTTGACAGCTCTGTATCATCAGTCACATGCTCCAGCAGCAGCTTCATCGACCAGCACCAGCATCTACCAGCTTCATCATCTGCAACTTCATCAGCAACATCAACCAAAGCAGCAGGAGTAGCAGGAGTAGCAGCATCATTGTCGCATAATGACAAAAGGACATTCATTAAGTTTTTGATTTCTGATTTTATTGTTGATTAAACGCAGCAGCCACACCTCAAGGCTGAACTAGCCTTGTGCGGTAAATGGGTAACGGTTATAAATGCTGAGAAGGATATGACAAAAAAAAGGGCATAAAAAAAGGCAAGAGGCAGGCAGCAAGGACTCGGCATTGTGCTGCTCTATCGTGCTGAGCACTTCCGGCGCCAAAGCGTCAAAACTTGACGTTTCCGTTTTTTGGCTGCTCCTGCTGCTGCTGCTGCTGCTCCTGCTGCTGCTGCCGTCTCTGCCAGCCAGGCTGAAGAGCCAAGTGCTGCTCTGGCTTATCACTCGATGTGCTGGCAAGGGGACCACACACAAGGGGGCACACACACACATACATATATATATACACATTTATATATATAAACATGTATATATAATAGCTATATAGCTGCACATGGCACATAAGCTTGCTTTTTGGCCAACAGCCAACCAGTTCGTGTTGCCTGCTTTTTGATTAAAGCCACAACTAACCACACACACACACACACACTCACGCACACATGCATACATCTATGTGTGTGTCAGCATTATCCTTGCATATGTACATAGACCCCAAACTGAAGTGCTGCCATTCGCTTGGCTCAAGTATTGACATTGCCAATGTTGCAGCAGCGGCTGCTGTCGATGGGCGGTAGGCGTG